TTTTAGTTTAAAAACTGAACTCACACCATAATAATATATTGTATCATCACCACCTTGTGGCAGTGTTAGCAATAACACATTTGATCGTGCACTGTCTGATTCATTTCATAGAGGTTTCTTCACAATGTATTGCAGTGTTAAATATGCATTGAAGCTCGAGGGTTAGACTCCCAACCACAAGATCTGAGTTTAAATCACAGTCTAGACTAAAGTTCATAGTGAAGCTTCTCTTGGAGGGTGGTTGAGGCAGTAACAGTCTCAGCCAGGTCATTTGGGAAGGATTCCATCCAGTATTACAGGATGACAAAGTTGACCAGTGATGAATGGCAATAACATCATCCACAAAGGTCTGCGGCCAAGAATATCTTGCTGTTCTCAGTCTTGAAGACATGATAAGGTTCTATATCAAATGCGAGGATTATTATTATAAGGAAGGTAATATGAATACAAGGAGTTGAATGTTGGAGAATATCAAATAACTAACGAAAAGGAAACTTTTTTTAAAAAAACAGTATCAGCATCCTGTGAAGTTGTACAATAGTGTGTTGTCTTGCATTGTCAGTTATTGGGATTTTTGAGCTGGTGATTCATCAGTGGTTGGTTCATCCTGTTAGTTAGCAGTTAAGAGGAGTAAACTCGACCTTCCACAACTCTCAGACAGTTAATCAGCAACATTCACATATTTAACTCTCCTTTCTACTGTATTCTCAACAGCTGCATACAACAGTGGGCCCCTCACCAATGTAACCTCCATATACACCGTTAGGGCAAGAGCCCTAGAGTATCATCTGAAACAAAGAAATGAACAGGAGCCTCACTCGACATTAAATGTAATTGGCAGAGTGTAATCTGATGCGAATCCGTAATTATAAATGGTTGAGCGCCGCTGTTTAAATCACTTTTGTGCAGCTACCTGCAAGCGGAGTAGGACTGAGACGGGCTCAAAGAATTCTAAGCGGGATCGGGAAAGACCCAAAACTCCACACCGAGCAGGATTTTGTTTTCAGACAGGTATATCACCCAGATTGAATTATAGCTCCCAGTAAATTGAATTATCATCTGGTAGCACTCATTAATAAATGTAATGGTAACTGCACAGTTTACCAGCAAGAAGCACAACCACATTTCACAAATACACCACACTTCTCTGATTGACCTCCACCCTGTAATTTAACACAGCTGAATTAATTTGTTTTTACACCCTGTAAACCGCCTATCATATCCTACGCATTGTCAACCAGTGGAATTATTAAACACATTTGATGAATCATTTACATTCTGTTCCAAAAGATTTTCCCCACACATTATATAACATTATAGCTGTCAGTGAATATACCTTTCCCTTTGTTGAAGATTACTTCTTCTAGGGGTTTAGCTATTAATAGCACCACCCACAGACCTAACCGCAGTCTGGTGCTAACAGAGATGAATACTGAGACATTTCACAGTTCCATAAGATGGACCTGGAAAATTGTGTCCTATTTGTTGCCTCTACTATTTTTTTCCCACGCAATAACAATTAGTTGTTTGTGTTGTTGTGCGTGCTGGAATTGCATCTGTGCGTGCAATCAAAAAGGAAATTGCTCGCATGTTGCTGAAGGAAGGACTGATTAAGGTGTTTACATACTAAGTGAAACACGAACAGCGTGTAACAGAGAACACAGTATAGAGCAATCGGGAACCTTTGCCCTAACGAGGTCCACCAAAAATGGTAATGAACGTGATGGAAATGTTTGCTGTACATCTACATCACTTCCGTACTGCTTCATTGTTGTGGAAAAGGCAAGGGTTTGTACACCCATTAAATATTAATATTATAGTCGAGGTGCCTCAGGCACCTTAACAGTTCTCCTTACCAACATGCTACAATGGGGGATAGAGTGCCACTAATGGGGTTAAACATGAGCATTGCTGCTTCACACTGCAGGGAATTTAATCCCATAAGAGGCAAGTGACATTTAACATTGGACTGTTCCCCAAACCCCCCAAAAAACAATGAAAGGCCCCATAATCTTGTGGTTACTTGCAGCGAATGGGGAATTAGATGAGATCATTCTACAGTATTAAGTACGGGCTAATGACGTGTCACAAGTGTGCGGTTGCCTTTCAGCACCGAGCACAGCATCGTAAAGGAGGCGAGACATTCTTCCATATATCAAAGATTCAGCAGATCTTCATAAGCCTTGTCGCTGACAGTCTTCTTCAAACGTGTAAGAACCACTAAAAAAGGAACATGGGGGTGAAACCAGCAATGATTCCTGCATTGCTGGTTGAGGTACATCTCAAAGCTAACCTACTTGTGCAAGTGTATACATCTGGTAAAATGGGTAATTCGATGCAACAGGTTGGTTGATGTTGAGAGTGGGACAAACTGCTTCTTACTCGTTAAATGTGTTGAACATGTCAAATGAGTCCAATAGTTGCAGTCTGTTGGATAGTGTTTGACTTTTTAATGTTAGCGAGGAGCTGACAGGAGAGTTATTGACCGTTATCAACATTAGAAATAGTATTCACTTCAGAAACCCGGTGAGCAGAGTTCTGTACATGCATGTAAGTATGAGCCTCAGTATAGAATAATCAGAATAGGACATTATAAGTCAATGTTGCCACAAAACACCATTCTCTATGGTCAGTACAATCCAAGACTGTCTTCATTACGGGGTCTTTGTCCCAACCATTTCAGAGGNAAAAAGCTAAAGACATTTAGCTAATGAATTCTTGCTCACATGTTTGGCCCATATACAACTTCTATTTTCCCACATTCATTTCCCAATTGGAAATGATACGTTAGGAACAAATGGTTTCACTTATAAACCAAGTTTCTCGGTTCTGATTATTGTGCATTCCAATGATGTAAAGTAAGTAATGCCTGTGCTCTTAAACTGTACTATGGGTCATAACTAGCTATCCACAGTTGCCAAGCAAAATGCCTCAACCATTGAATAATTCACTTCTAGTTAATGCGACTAACTAGATACATGAGACTGGCGGGAAATGGAATCTTACTTCAGCAGTACTGAGTATTTTCCAAAGGACATAACAACAACTTGCACTTATATATCACCCTCTACTCAGGGTAGCGTCTCAGTGTATCTAACAGTGGCGGAGCCTGTCTGGGCGGGAGGTGGGAGGGAAGTGATCGTAAACACTGTCGAAAAGGAAGGTTTTCAGGCGGGACTTGAAAAAGAGGAGACCGCATGCAGTGATGTATTTTTAGTTTAATAATATGCTGCACGCACACTTTTACAATGCGAGAAACTGAAAATTTGGCCCCTGGAAGTGTTTTGTACTGTGCGTTGAATTTTGCAGGAATTAGTAACAGAAGAAAGATTTGCTAAGAAACAAATTTTTGTTACGCGTTTTTATTATTAATCCGACTTTTCTGAGAATAGAGGAGGAACTGTGACAAGATAATTATTGCCTTGTTTAATCTCGAAGGTGGGTAATGACACTTATCGGGTTGGGACTGTGTAGTGCTATTGTTTCAGTAACAACAAGGACTATTAGTGTGATGTGACTCATTATGGTTTTGGGAAAGCTTGAAAAGAGACTCTTTAAATTGCGGAAAGCAATCATGGTGTGTGTGTGTGTGTGTCTGTGTGTGGCCTTTAGTAATTGTACAGTTGAACGCAGATGCCTAAAACGTCACTTTTTCTGTGGGATAAAAAAAATCTAATGGAACCGTACTTCTTTGGTGATTTGAATTCATTGGTTCAAAAGGTGAAAGTGAAATGTTACAGAACCTGGATAGAGCTGAGAGAAGCTATGCAGGGTCCTTACAGTCTTTGGATCCAACCTTTTATATTGAACCTCCTTTCCCACTTTTAGAGTCCTCTTGCACATTTCCATGACTGAGAGCGATTAAGCAACCTCCTCCCAAACTTTGATGCTGTTTAGCCAGTGATGAAGATTCATTGGGAATAAATAGACCTCCAAACATCCCTGATGGCACAGCTGAGATGGTGAACCCTTGTCCTATTATTTCTGTGATGCAGTAAATTGGAAGAAGGCTGGATATACTGGGTTGCATTGCTCCTCTTTGCACAGGAATCTAATAAATAACTTGGGGAAATGGAAAACTTTGATTGCATCCATGAACCAGCCTTTCTGCCTCTCACTTACTTTAATCACGTGCAAGCCACATTGGTTCTGAGAAACATCTGCAGATTCCCCAATACCAACACAGCTGATGTTAATCTGCAAAGGCAGCTTGGAATAACTTTGCTTTATTGGTAGACATTGTGTTCCAAAATAACTTTTTATTATAAAAGCAATTACATATTTATATTTACACCCTCTCTGGTTTACCACCCTACAGTAAATCAACACAATAAATGTATCCTGAAGATGTGGATTTTGCTAAGAACCCGAGAGCTTAACATTTAGGATGATTATAACCCAATGATTACACTGCAGTTATTATTTGCAAAACAGAAAATCTCTCAAAACTACATCCAAGTTGCTAGTCCCTACCCCATCAATGTAGTGTATAAATAAAGTGGACACTTTCAATCTTGTCGGACCCATTGCATGTGCTGTGATCAGCCACTTTCTGTTGTTGTTGGAAATCCACCATCATCAGTAAAGGAGGGAAGAAATGGTAAAATTGGAGATGGGAAATTGGCACACTTTGAGATCATTACGCTGATCACTTTGGCTGTTCCTCGCATGCTTTCCATATTAGCTGTAGTATTCCTAGGAGCACCCACTGGGCGTCAGTCACTAAAGCCAGTTTATTGCAAACTGAATTTCTTTCACGTTATGGTTCGAGTGCCAAATTTCCCCTCCTGCCCATTTTACCATTTTTTCCCTCCTTTACTAATGTTGGTGGATTTCCAACAACAACGTTGCTGAATAGATTCAATCCCAAAAGTATTTCTAACCCAAGCTCTGAGTGAAACACTGCTCCTCTACATCATCTCTCAATGCAGTTTGGTGACTGCTTACGTTGCTTTATTTTTCTCACTTAACTTGCCTTTCCATTCTTTTTCCCACTACAGGTCCTTGACTGGATTGAAAATCACGGAGAAGCCTTCTTAAGCAAACACACTGGGGTCGGCAAGTCTCTTCATAGAGCCCGGGCGCTGCAGAAAAGACACGATGATTTTGAAGAAGTGGCTCAGGTATGAAACTTTTTCCTTTTTTTTTGGTCAGCCGGGTGACTGACACATGAGGAAACCCATCACCATGTTTAAGGGTATCCAAACCAAACTGAGAATTCCATGCATCCCACCTACACATGGAAATTCCAGTGATGGATTGCCTGGACTGGAATGCGCTATCTCTCCCTGCTTACTTAATTCCGGAAAGTATTAGGCGCAGGTCGGCTGGGGATCCAAGATTGTGCGTTGGGGTAACTGCTGGAGTCTAACCAACTAATAATAATAATAATCCTTGCATTTGATATAGCACTTTTCACGTCGGGAGGACGTCCCAAAGCGCTTCACAGAACACACAGTAAAGTGAATTGACTGTGTATTTGTGGGCGAACGCGGCAGCCAATTGCGCACAGCAATGTCCCACAAACAGTCGTAGATTGAAAATAACCAATTTATTATTGTTTTGGTTTTGGAGGGATTATTATTAGGCTCTGTGTGGAGTAAGGAAACTTGCCCAAGGTTTCGCCCTCTGCCTGGAATTGAACTCAGGTCTCTCGCTTGCAAAGCGAGTGCTCTAACCACTGAGCTACAGGACTCCTTTTAACTAAAACCACATAGCTTGCCATTGAGACCGCTGTCTGGCAAGTTTTCCTGCTGCTTGTCCAGCTCGGACCACCCTACCCATTAGCACTTTGGCTTGCAGATTAAAAGGAGCCTAGTGGGATGATTCCCTGATCCCAGTGACTGGGCTGCCCTTCCAGGTCCTGTCAATGAACAATAGCCAACGGGTATCTATGCTGATCGGTCTTAATTCATTGGTATTTGGCAACACTGATTGCTTCACATTATTGTTGATTCAAGCTCCAGTTTCTTTTTTTTTTTTAAAAATGCAAGAACTGCATTCGAGAAGGAAATGAACAGTGACATTCGGTGCTAATGGAACACACAGAACCATAACTTTCCCGAATCTTCATCTGGAGTATTGGCTCTTTTGTTCGTGTCCACCCAGGCCTGCTTTAGAGATACTGATTTGAAATAAAACTATTTAGGAATCAATATTTTCATTATTTTCGTCATGATCTGGCCGTTGTCACTCTAGACCAGCTTTTATATCACTGGCCATAGTTTTGGACTTAATCTTGAGACATCCTCCTGGCATGAAAGGCATTATATCACATGCAAGGATTATTAGGATTTTTATATCGCGCATTAATCATCATTCTGTTTAGAGGAATCATTCACAGTTTATGTATCCTCTTTCATAAAGCATAACACAAGGACATCTGTATCTCTCTGCCATCTGTTCCAAATTCTCGTTTTTTTTACATTGAATGGAATAGGAAATTCCGTACATAATCCCAAAGCCTTCTGTACAAAGTGACTACTTTTCCCCATTCTGAAGTCAATTCTAAACAGTTGGTACTGGAGAACGGAGGATTGATATAACTGGTCCATTATGAATGAATGTCCAAGTCATTTCAATGTAACGTTCCATCGCTTTCCAAAACAATTAATCTCTTTACTGAAACATTGAACGATAACACTGAGTGTGTTTGTTTCTTTAAACACTGATGCTAGACTGCATAACTTCCTCTCTCTCTCTGAAGTGGTCGAATGACCCACATGCCCTGACCCTTTTCTTTCAGATTTTGGGCATTCATTATGTATGCTACTCATTTGCTTATTCATCAATTTGACAGGTGAGCAGGCAGTCTGTACTGAGCCCAATGATCTGAGTAGTTAGATTGCGGGAATGTATGTTCCACTAGATGATTACCCCCTCTTAAATATTCTGCTTCTATAGTGTCAACCCAGCTCAGTTGGCAACCTTTTCATATCATTCCATTACCTTTTGAATATAATAATCTCACTACCCACTATGACGTAAAGGAACACAAACTCAACCATTAATTGTAATAAATGCTACAAATCCAGTCATATTCCAAAACCCTACACCAATTGATGCATACCCTCACATATTCTAGCATTCCAGCTGCACCTAATGTGTTATAGATCATGTTATAACTACTATTTGGGAAAGTCACTGTGGTTTATTGGACCATAAGTGACTGGATTCATCAATGGTGTGTTTTGATTCTAACCCACAGCTTGTGTTCACATATAAATAAAAGTCTGCTCAGGTGGGCCACAAAGCACTAATCTTGTCGAAATAGATTTTCCGTTCGTAAGCGAGTATGTTTGTCTTGTGCATAAATCATCGTGTTTTATTGTGTTACATTGAAGCAGCTTCTGTGAATTGCTCCTTGGCAAAGTCTGGTTCCACTGAATTTATTGGTTTAAAATCTCCTTTTCAGTGATTTATGCTTCCGAGCTCAATATAATTACTGCCGTGCATTTTCTTTTCCATTTAGTAGCGTTGGGGACTGCTGGATAGTCTAGTCAGGTCAAATAATTCACCAGGTGTTCAATACATCACGTTTTGGTAATTTTCAAAAATAATCCATGTTGTTTTCCAAGATGAAGTGGTTTTATTTTCTTCCTAATGCTTTTGGATTCCATTTAGTCGATATTCCACAATTATAGGAGCTTTTAGCATTTTTGACAATAATCATTATTAAGTTGTCGATAGTACTTTGAAAAGATTGCGAAAATCAGTTAAACTTAGCTCTTCGCAGTCTTTAAAAGTCAACCGCTGGCTGGTTAGGAAAGTCTTTGCTCATTAGAGGCAAATATCTGTTCGTGATGACAGGCTTTGGGGAAAACTGCTGCTTTTACTTTTACTTGGACACAGTTAGCCTGCGAGCACTTATCTTATCTACTTCCTTATATCTGTCATATTGGGTTTCACACACGTGGTATGATTAATCACTGATATAATTTTCAGTACCGCCCGCTCTCATAACTGACTCGCAGCAAGTCATGTAAAGTGGAATCCTTCTCTCCCTGCGGGGGTCTTGGAAGCTGTCCTTTTGCTTATCGGACTTGTCTGGTTGCAGGCCAGAAGGTTAAAAATGAACCTCGTGTACTCAATTATATACGGTTCCCATGCCGTACCTTGTTCAAATTGCAGACATCCACACAGACCCAGATGCTGATAGACTAAAAGGAGAGGAGATCCTGAACCCGAAGGTGCTAGTGGGGTTACTTTTTTAGGGGGAGTGGAAGAGAAGAGATATGAGTCCAAGTGCCAAACACAGATCACCGGCCGGTACCACAGGCAAACAGCACCATTCTTGATTGCAGAGCATCGGCGGCAGACCATTTGGTATTGAGGGCATCATCACTAAACTATGCTCTGCTCACCGTAACTAATAGCCATCGGAAGTTGGCTGATTTATTGCTTCCCCACCTGAGCTCCTGGTGTGTCTAAAGCTCACAAACCTCAACCGCCCCGCCACCCCATACCCATACAGAGTAAAGTTTTAGACCACTGTTTTTTCTCATTGTGCAAATGTGCCACTGTGGGTTAAAGTCTAATAAAACTAGCCCAGAATGTAGTCATCTTAAAATCTCTGGTTCTACGTGCACACACACAGATAAGAACATAAACCACACCCTCTATGGATATTTACTAAGTATGGAACTGTAAAAAATAATAAAAATAATCCTCCTTGCATTTGATATAGCGCCTTATCACGTCGTTAAGATGTCTCAAAGAGCTTCACAGAATATACTGTAAAGTGAATTGATTGTATATTTTGTGGGGACGAAAATATATTGCTCCATACCCTCAATTGATTTATTCGCCAAACAGCTATCTGATTCCCTCTTGAATTTGTTGCTTTCCTCACCTCCCCGGGTAGTCTATCCACATATTCACCACACTGTAAAATAATTAAATCTAAACTGTCTGTTTGCTTTCCTCCTTTGAGTTTGAGTCAGTGCCCCCTGAGCCTTTGAATAATCAGGGCTGGTCTGCACTCTAATCAGAATTTGTGCCATTATTGTGGGAATATAGAGTTGGAATTCATGAATTATATATGTTATTACCTTCCAGTCTGAGGAGTGTGCACTACTAGTCTAGGCAGCACGTGTCCAAGTGAGGGAGGCAAATTAACATCATGAAATACAGAGCTTCCAGTGTCATTTTACTGTGGCGTGGCAAACGTTAAAACAGACAGCCTCTTAATAGTTATCGTATTTCCTCAACCGAACAAGCTCGTCGGAAGCTCACACAAATGTGCACGTCAGATTAAAGATGTTGCATTATGTTTCATAAGAACATAAGAATTTGCTAGACTAAAGAAGATCAAGGTCCATCCAGTTTGCCTTCCACCATCCTGGCAGTCACTTGTCCCAAACTACATACTGTACTGTATCCCGAGATACTATTTCCTAAAGGATATCTATCTCATTTGCTTGTGAAAGAATCAGCACTTTCTGCTTCCACCTTCTGTCTAGGGAGCCAGTTCCGTACATTTACTATCGTTTTCAGATGGGTCATAACTATAGCAGATCTGGCAAGGATAATAGAAAAGGGAACGCAATGAAATCCACATGCAAGTGGTAGCACAGATCTGTGGGAACATACTGCAGCCTACTGGCCATTACTAGTCCCGATACATTCAAGAGACTTTTGTTTCAATCTTGTATGGAAATTGTGGAATGTCAACACTGATGAATGATTGTGTCATGGTTACTGTTTCTATGGTCCATAAAACTTGCTTTAGGAAAAGGCTTCAACGGATGCCACAAACTGAAGGGAAATGGAGAACAATTAAATAATAATTCTTGCATTTGATATAGTGCCTTTCGGCCATCTTACCTCGCTGTACAGGATTTACTGTAAAGTGTAGTGACTGTGTATTTTGTAGACTATCGGAATAAAAATTGTTAATTCGGCTACAGCAAATGGGTGAAGCATTGTAACAGCCGTGTGAAGGATTGAATGAAATAACGTGTCTGGAATTGAAATCCAAAGATATGTCAGGACTTTACGGTGTGTATTTGGAAAATAGTTTGCGAAAAATCAGGAAATGCTGATGATGTAGGTCGGACACATTTATTTGTTTGTTTAGCGATAAACGCATTTTATTAGTAAACTGCAGTCGAAGTGGACGAACAACTTTATCTGATTGCACCTGAACTCTCACATTTTGTGCGTGTGTCAAGCCAACTCGCATCAAGGAGGGCAGTAAACAAGGAATAGCAGCAGTCTTTTGGGGGGGGGGGGGGGGAAGATTCCAGGGATTTTACAGATAGCTGTGAGTTCTTTCATTTCGGAGCAATCTGCACAACATTCTGGCGCGGAATGTTATACATTTCAGAAGATTAAATCCTGTTTTGCACATAAACACACTGGAGAGTGCCGGCTAAACTAACTCCTGTGCTTACTTCTCTCAAAAAGGGGTCTCTCTGATGAACGTGATCCTCTTTTAGGCTTGATGTGCGAGTCACAAAGATAATACACAGCCGCAGTCCCTTCTGGAATCTCAAGACTCTCCCTGTTTTTTCCCCCACCCCCCCCCCCCCACCCACCCCCGACTAGAACACGTACACCAACGCTGATAAGCTGCTGGAGGCCGCTGAGCAACTTGCTCAGACAGGAGAGTGCGACCCTGAGGAGATCTACAAAGCAGCACGTCACCTGGAAGTGCGCATTCAGGACTTTGTCCGGAGGGTGGAGCAGAGGAAACTGCTACTGGACATGTCCGTGTCATTTCACACTCACACTAAAGAGGTAAGGTGGACAGTCCTACCATCTGCTTGAGCAATATTCAGTTCCCCCACCGCCCCCCGCTCCCACCACCTCCCCCTCTCCCTGCCCACCTTCAGCTCGAGTGTCCGGCCAACTGTGTTGAAAGCGCTTTGAGACATCCTTCTGATGAGGAAGGTGCTACAGAAATGCAAATTGTAACTGTATTTATTCCAGTTTGGAATACAGTGATTGTAAAAGTTTCTGTGCCTGGTCGGGTAAAATATCACAAGTGCTCACCCAGTTGTGCCTGAACAATTTTTCCCAGTATATATTCACTTGTCTTTCGGTGTTATATGTAAATATTGTAATTGTAAGTGAGTGAGGCTGCTTCATTTACTCTGTGCGTTGAGCTGCCTGTGTTATTTAGCCGTTTTGGCTAAGCATCTATTTGGGTTTAGTTTTGACATTAGGCAGATGCACTTTATTGCACAAAATTTTAGAATTTGTCAACATTTAGTTTTAACGGCTCACATTTTGAGGACCTGGGTTTCAGAGTGTTAATGATGACACAGGAGCCAAAGGGATAGAATAGAAACAGTGCCAATAATAGATCAACGTTGCAGCGATTAAGAGATTCGATTGAGAAATAAAAGCCTCTGAGACCACATTCTGTTGTTCAGCCCCCAACCAGACAATTTTCAGCTTTCTCCCATCCTGGAACGTGATGCTTAAACTCAACCCAGTTGAATCGGAAATGTTCCCATATTTGCTGCACTAGATGGCAGTCTACTCCATAAATCAGCAGGTTTGACTCTCGAAGTTAAATTACATGCGTTGAGATCATAAGGAGGTGCAGCTGCTATGAAACGAGCAATTTTTTTAAATCAGGCTTTCGTGACTACTGATGTCATTCTTCTTCCTATCCATGATATAAATTCAATTTAATTTTAGTCGATCGGTGGATTGCTTTCAGAAGGTAATAAACCCTTTAAAAAAAATAATAATTTGATCGCAATATCAATCGTAATAATAATAATAATCCTTGCGTTTGATATAGTGCCTTATCGCCTCTTCGATAAGGCACTATCTCAAATGCAAGGATTATTATTAAATTAACCAATTTCAGATGCACGTGTATAAAGCTGTATCACAGAAAAGAGAGAAGGTGAGTATCCCCCTGATGGGATCTGTTATTTCTCATCAAGCCCAGCTGAGAAAACTGAAAATCCACAAACCAACAGCAACCGATTAGACTTATGTGTTTGTCAAACATAACTAGTTCCTGAGTTTCTCAGTTGCTGCTCAAGTCGATGTTCCTCAAAGCATCGCTTGACAGTATTTACCTCAGCATATAATTGATTTATTACATACGCCACCCAGCTGTCCACTGATCTGCTGGTTCATGTTAATGGAAGAGACTATCCAGGGGTTGCTATTGATAACTCAAAAGGACTGCTAAACACCAACTGTTTTCTCTTCTGATAATTCACAGATTCCTTTTCTGTTCTATTCTATGTCGGGGGTTTTCATGGAAAGATAGATGCAGTAAAATACCACCATCTCAGGAGAAAAGTCACAGCTCGAAGGGGTACTGCAACTGAATGTTGTTGCTACTGAATGTAGCGACAACTTATAATACAACAACAAAAACTTGGATTTATATAGCGCCCTACACGTCGGAGAGCGTCTCAGAGCGCTAAAATAATAAGTTAATATAAGCACATAATAATAATTCAGTAGCAACAACTTATAATAATAGTAATAATAATAATAATAATCCTTGCATTTGGTATAGTGCCTTACCATGTCGTTGAGATGCCTCAAAGCACTTCACACCATATATTGCACAGTGCATCGACTGTGTATTTTGTGGGTGAAATGCGGCAACCAATTGCCAACTTGTACTTGTACAGAACCTTTCACAAAGGACAAAGTCTCAAAGTGCTTCACAGAGACGGAATGGGAGCCTGAGCAGGGTAGATGATGGTGGGGGTGCGGGGGTAAATAATTATTTATTATTAAATAATAAATAAAAATAATAATTGGGTCACTTAATCCACAACTGTTTGTGGGACACCACTGTGCGCAATTGACTGCCACGTTTCGCCCGCAAACTATGCAGTCAATTCACTTTACAGTATATCCTGTGAAGCGCTTTGAGACGACTCAAAGCCGTGATAAGGCGCTGTATCAAATGCGAGGATTATTTATCCTGTGAAGAACTTTGAGGCGTCTCAAAGACGTGATAAGGCCCTGCATCAAATGCAAGGATTATTATCTTTATTATTATCATCTTGTAAACCACTGAGGGAAAAGAAATGACTGTCTCAGTACTGCTATGCAGGGGATTGTATCTCTGTGTCTGAGTCATTGCTGTTGCTGATCCCTTCTAGCTGTGGGCATGGATGGAGGAGCTTCAAAAGGAGCTGTTGGAGGATGTTTGTGCTGACTCGGTGGATGCCGTGCAAGAACTTATCAAACAGTTTCAGCAACAGCAAACAGCCACACTTGACGCAACCCTGAATGTTATAAAGGAAGGGGAGGATCTCATTCAGCAACTCAGGTGAGCGGAGTCAGCTGCAGGTAAAGGAGAATGAAACCACGCGTGTCTTTCTCCGTATACCAATAAATGTTTTCAGCAACCGATTGATGACCCCTGCTTACTTTGGAAAGCATATTTGTGTGTTGCGATGTATTGCGCCCAGCTTGGACACACATCTTTAACTGTCCAGTGCTTTGGGACATCCTCCCGAGGTGAAAGGCGCTGTGTAAATATAATTTGTTGCTGCTGCGGTTGTAAATATTATCATGCAAACCAAGTTATTTTTGAAAAGTTGCCTTGCAAGTGGATTACATTTGTTTGTGCCACACTTCTGGTGCTATAAACTATTGGCTCAAGTAAAACTAGATGCGTTTTTATTTCTAAAACTTTTTAAAAAGAAATCATTCTGGATGAATGTACCTGGAATCATAAGATCTCAATCAAATGTCAGCCTATGCAAGGAAGCCTGCTTTTTTTTAACCTTTTTTAGTCCGTTTTAGGAGCTGCCTTAAAGGTCTTTATATACTTGAGTGCCTTTTCATCAATCCTTTCACATTTTGGTTGTTTTCACAGTCGTGTGTGTAGCTGAGAAAGAGCGTCATCATAGGTATTTGGATGCATTAATGCTGAAATCTTGATTTGCCACAGGGACTCTGCAATCTCCAACAATAAAACTCCACACAATAGCTCCATCAGCCACATAGAGAGTGTTCTTCAGCAGCTCGATGAAGCCCAGGGACAGATGGAAGAGCTTTTCCACGAGCGAAAAATCAAGTTGGATATTTTCTTACAGCTTCGGATTTTTGAACAGTACACGATTGAGGTAAGGCCTGAGTTCACATCATCCATTGTCTTTGATCTTTAACGAAAGACGGATTTCTTTCCTGGGACAAGTCTGTCCCATCAGATCTTGGGGGTACTTGGGAGCTCAGCTGTTAGGGGTCTTTTGGAACTAGGTGGTTGAATTAGGCATTATAGAAGCTTATAGGCATTATACATGGAATGATATACTGTATGTTCAATGCATTTAATTACTGAAGCCAGAATGCCGCTTATCTGGTTATCTGACTGATTTTTTTAATTTTTGTTGTCAACTTTGTTAGAGTGATAAAGCAAAGATCATCTCATTTTCTTGGCGTACAAGACAGACCGGTTAACTGCGACTCATTTTTTTTCGTAGAAATAGCAATGGGATTCACAATAATTGTTTTCATGTTGATGTTAACATCTTTAAATAGGTTCAACTATTGTGAATCATGCTGCCTGGACGATTAATTTTCTAAATTATGGATGGCTATTATCATCGAAACTAATGTACCAATAAATATTTTGCCAAGTATAAAGGCATTATATTCCATATAAATCAGTAGGTGTACTAAGAGAATTTGTCTCCAGTCCCTTTCGTTTGTGAATTTAACACAGTTGATTGGCTGAAGTCTATCTTTCTCTGTGACAAGACTCCCTGGTGTGTACCTTAAACAAGAACTGTTCTCGAGTCATTGAAGCAGCAATAGGATCACAAAAGAACTTCATTAAAAGAAAGTAATTGAGCAGAAAGCACTGCAGCAAGCAGTAGATTAGATTTGCCAGCTATTAAGGGTCCTAAAAGTGTTACTGCCGGAGCCATACCAATGCTGAAAACAGTCCTTTTAATCATAAAAAACATGGGTAACCTGAATTAGACATAAAATACAATTTGTAAGATGTCTCTACATTAACTCATCACATGAATGCTCCAGTAGAGTATCCACAGAGAAATGGGAAGGTGGGTTTATATTCAATTCCCCACACAAGCTTCTGACCTCGGCTGTGTTACGGTGGACATTTGAATGTTTATTTTTTTGTAGGGGAATAGAAATGGATAGCTTGTCTAAAATAGGACAATTCTAGGCTGGTGTATTGCCTTCAGTGTCCAAGGCTAGAGAGGACCAAATAGGCCAGCGTTTCCTGCCCGCTGTTTCCTGACTGCTGCTGTGGTTGATGGCTCGTGTCTAGGTATATGATGCCTTTGATGGGCAAATACCATAGTTGTCTGGTTCACACCTGGTGGTTTGGATGTGCTGGCAGTTAGTTTTGAGTTCCCAGTTGTCGGACCACAGATTAACTCTAGAAATGTGACTGCAAACCCTGTGCGGTTTCACCAGGTTACAGCAGAGTTAGACGCCTGGAATGAGGATCTTCTCCGTCAAATGAACGATTTCAATACCGAGGATCTGACTTTGGCTGAACAGCGACTACAGAGACACACAGAACGCAAGCTGGCTATGAACAACATGACCTTCGATGTAATTCAGCAGGGCCAAGATTTACACCAGTACATCATGGAAGTGCAAGCATCAGGTAACACAGGAGGAGTTTAAGGGGAGAGTTATTTTACTGTTACTTATTTTCAAAGGGACAATCACTCCCTGGGGAATCCCGGTTGTTTTTTATAGTCGACGATCACATAATGCGAGAAGCGAATACTGTACCCGCAAGCATGTTGCTTGTTATTCATTTCCATAGCAATAATAATAATAATAATCCTTGCATTTGATAGAGCGCCTGATCACGTCATTGAGACGACTCAAAGCGCTTCACGGAATATATTGTAAAGTGGATTGACTTTGTATTTTGTGGGTGAAAATTGCACGCAGCAGCATCCCACAAACAGTCGTGCATTGATTGAGTGTCCAAATTATCATTATTATTCTTTTTTTTTTGGAGGGATTATTACCCTCGGAAGGCGATCTGCCAATCGACTAAAAAAGCGGGTTCCTACTTACTGCTAGGTAAACAGTTTCATCCTCCTTGCAGCCCGTCCCCTGGGGGAATGAGTAAATGTATTACAGTGTTGATTTGTGAGCCATTCGGCAGAATGTCCACAGTCAGAGCAGTGAGATCGATGGAGGGTCAGGTGTCCTACTCAAACATATTATCACTCTCGTGCCTTGTACATTTAGAATATCACCTTAGGTTAAGATGAGGAACATTATGATTTTGTTTTACATAACTTGCTGGGGTTAAGCAAATAGATTCTCCACCAGTTATGAAATTAGCAATAAGCCTCCATACATTCCTGTTATACATAAAGGAGATCTCTTAGACATAAACACTGACCACCTTTTTTTAATAATAATAATAATCCTTGCATTTGGTATAGCGCCTTTCACATCAGGAGGACGTCTCAAAGCACTTCACGGATTTACTGCAAAGGTTTAAGAGCAGTATCTCCAAATATTGTCAGTTTTGCATTGCTTTCACCCACAAAAAACACAGTCACTACACTTTGCAGTGGATCCTGTGACATGCTTTGGGATGTACTCCTGATGTGAAAGCTGCTAAATCAACTGTAAGGATTATTATTATACACAGGACAAATCTCCCAAAATGTATCATTCTAGAAATGGACTCATATTTGCCACTGAGAGAGGGTGACACACTGATGTTCGCCTCACGTTGACTGACTGTTTCCTTCATGTCTGAGGCTGCAGGCACAACGCTGTGTTTGAAAAGGTCTGTTTACAAACGAGCCACTTATTAGTCCGTAGTCAAAGAGAGAGGAGCTGATCTGAGCGGCCACTTCATATGATCTTCATTCAATGTGGCAAATGCAAGTGAATCGTAACAACTGCTTTACAAAGTCTGGTCCACGCCACATAAGTGTATCACTATCGGGTTTTCAGTTGCACAATTCAGCAAAATGCGACCTTATTTCAGCCTTGGTATGTTAACAAGCTTCTAACTCCTCTTGTTGTACAATACTTATTGATCTTTTAGTTTAGAAAACGCAGCCATGAACGAACGATGGTCCTGTCAAGTTTCATTAAAGAGTGGGGAGCCCTGGGTTTGAACTGTGCACAAGCCGAATGAGCACTGACTGGAGCAGCAAAATATTGCTGGTCCTGCACGAAAGCGCAGTGTCCCATTCCCTTCCAGCCTTCCCCTCCGGAACATAGGAACAGGAGTAGGCCATTCAGCCCCTCGAGCCTGTTATGCCATTCTGTTAGATCATGGCTGATCTGCACCTCAACTCCAAATCTGGGGTGGCAAGAGCAGGCGGGCATCAGATTGCTCTCTGCAGGAAAGGCACTGTGATGTAGCAAAAGACAAAGTGTTCCTGTCGGGTGCACTTATTGTGATCGACACAAGTCTGAAAGGGTTTTGGTAGTTAGGTCTCTCTGCTCTATGGAAAGGAACACTTGCTGTCCATTGTCACATCTCACACGAGTCACACACCTGCCATTCCTAGTGCCGTAAACCTCACATAAGTCACACCAGTTGGGACCATACATTTAATATGACTTGTGCAAAGGATGAGTTATGTCAAACTTGAATAGGATATAAACTCTCAAACAGGGTTTGGGCAGACAACCACCACCACAACCACAACAACTTGCATTTATGTAGTGCCCTTCACACTGGGTGACGTTCCGGAGTGCTTGACAGTGGCGGAGGCTGACAGTGAGTCGGTGGGGGGAGAGGGGGTAAATTCAGCTACAGATTTTGTTTTACACTCGGAGCAGGGAACCTCTTTATTAGAATCCTGTTTATTTCGGTCATAGTTTTATTATGATAATTATTGTTTTAAATGCTGCACATTGGGGGGAAAAAACAGACATGGCCCAATTGTTCAAATGCTCTTTCCTGCTCAATACTGTCCTCACTAACTCTCATGTTCTGAACGTGACAAGTGAAGTTGTTTTTTAATCAACAACGACAACGCGCATTTATATAACGTCCTTCGGGCCAGACGGCGTCTCGGAGCGCTTGAACACAGTTCATGAAATCGCATTTCAGCCCCATTTCAATTCTGTACAGTTATGATGGTAAATTAAGGTCATTGTGGCTTGTTTTTCTTCCCCATTCTGTGCGCTAGCAAAGTTTTCAAAGATACATAAATGCTTTCCTATTGCACTTTAAAACCTCAGTTGTCCCAAAGCAATGTTGCAGGGAACATGAGCCGATTGCATTTCAGATCTCAACACATGAATGACTGCAGCTGATCTGACGAGGAAGCACAAACGTATGAAGGCAGTCAGGCTGTTGTATGTGTAAAATACGGAACGTAAGGAGAGACCACACTGACCTTCTTTGTTATTCAATCCACAACTGTTTGTGGGACGCCTGCTGTGCGCAATTGGCTGTCGTGCTTCGCCAATACAATACACAGTCAGTTCATTTTGCAGTGTATTCTGTGAAGCGCTTTGAGACGTCTCAGCCACTTGATAAGGCGCTACATCAAATACAAGGATTATTATTAGTATTACTCAGAAAGTTAACCTGAAAGTTTCCTCGTGTCCTTGATATTGTCCCATCAGTATTTACAATCTAGCATACATTGACACTGTGTTGCGTGAACGATTCAAGCCAGATCCAAATTCTTATTAATCTTTTGTCGTACTGTTATTCGACAGGTCTGGTCTGGGGGTGGGGAGCCGTTATTCTAACAATCCTTTTAAATTCTGCCACAGCGAGCGAGTTTTGTGGGGCTCCACTGTGAGAAAAGCAAAGGCGTGTAAGTAACCAACAGGGTCTTTGCTTTAAGCAGGGATCGAGCTCACATGTGACAAAGACATGGACATCGGAACACAAGTGCAGGAGCTGCTGGAGTTTCTGCATGAGAAGCAGCGAGAGCTGGAGATGAACGCTGACCAGACCCAGAAGCGCCTGGAACAGTGTTTGCAGCTCCGTCACCTGCAGGCGGAGGTTAAACAGGTAGGAGGGACCCAATGGCTTCTACAGTGAAATTCATCACTTCAACATTGTTGGTCAACAGCAGTACATCTCCGTTGAGTGAATAACCTGGTGCCATTTGCTGGTTTAGCCTCACAAGCCGAATGCCCATAATGGGCAATATACCAGTACCAACTTAATGAGTCATTGCCTTCAAGAGAATGATGAGAGCAGAATATTTGGCAAGGGGGGAAATAAATTGCCATTTCCAATGAGACCGAATTGCCAAGTTCTGGCCAACTCCATATTACGAAAGACACACATGTAAAAGCCGGATAAACCACAAAAGTTCACCATTTACATTTGACGGCTCGTTCAAATGACAGCACTTGCATGAAGTGTTACACGCACACACGTAATATTTGCAAAACTGGAGGGAGAAATATGCTACTTTTTTTGCTGATATTCACTGCATTGCAGCGGTCAGTGGACGTGGGCAAGTTTGAGAGAAATAGTCTGCATGCCTGCACTTTGTAAGTATCTGTCAGTTATCCGCAGAGGCAGTGAGGTGTGCAATGTGAATCCATGCTACCTGTCTCAAAGAGCAAAGTCTGGAATTAAATCAGACCTGCAGCACTCAGCTTTGAGCTGACTCAGACTCACTCCTTGCTGGAACTCTGCAGATTTTCCCCCTAGGCTCCTGGGCAAATGTTTCCCGAATTTCTATTTTGCACTCAAGGAAAATGACAGCTCGCAGTAAGACAAGTAGTTTCTTTAGAAAGAATTTGGCTGCCGTTCTACAGCAACAACAAGACGCCCGCAAAATATGCAGTGGATTCACTTTACAGTATATTCTGTGACTCGCTTTGAGACATCTCGTTTTATCAAACGCACAAGGATTATTATTAATATATAGCGCCCCTCACACAGGGTAGCGTCTCAGAGCACTTGCTTACAAAGCACAAAGAGTTGGACTCTTAGACAACTCTGGGTGGCTGTCATCTTCGTTTCAAAAGAATTGATTGCTTTTGAAAGGCTCACTCTTGAGCGGTTCAGAAATAGCTTTGCAAACGGCTGTTATTGTTCACTCAGCTCTATTTTCCATTCTCTGGACAGTCCCGGACCAATATGCCCACATCATTGTACTAAATAATGTATTTTTGATTCCCTTGGTTCCAGTTCTTTGGAAGATTTCTTAATGGAAGTCATTTGCTTGGCTTTTTTTTCACATAAGGAGCTTCCATTTTTTCCATTCAGTCATTACCCTTCACCCAGCAGAAGATGCCTTTTATTCAGTGCACTGATACCAACGCTGTAACAAAGCACTGTTTTTTTTAATTGAATACCACTTGCTTGTTTTCTTTTTTTGCTCTGACTGGTTTATAACTGAGTGATTTACTGACATTGAGCACCCAACTGGTTAAATGTGGAATCAATGCAAAACCTTTCAGAAAGCAAGTGACTTTGAACCCTAAACAGCAACTTCCTAGTTTGGTGCTATTGCAATTCCTATAAGATTAGTATAGCAATTGCTTGGATAAATACGATACCATGTTATTTAAAATGTTTAAATATTTAAAACATTTTCTCGGTCATAAGACTGCAAGGCAGCACATTTAAAATAAATCCATTGTAATACCAGCACTGACTAAATGTGTGACATTTTTATGAAGAAAACTGCTCATTATCCATAACTGTTACTGGATAATGCATTGTGATGATAGATCAAATGTATGACTTGGCTGTTATCTCACAAAAATGTTATAAAGATGCCTGTGAGGAAGTTAGTGCTAAGGTAATAGTATTTTAATCCATGCATTTTGAGAACATTAATATTCCCTGAAATAAATAAACAATGATGTTTTTGTCATGTATTTGAGACTTAGAATATGCATTGACTAGTTTCCAGTTAATCAATTGAAAATTGGAAGCTTCCTGCTGAAAGGTGACCTTTTAGGAGAGATGACGCAATGTAGATGGATAGAAAGTAATGGTAAAGGGCCTTAGGGTACTAAGCTGACATGCTGTTAAGTGCTCTAAAAAGAATCCCTCCTTAATAGAGGTCTCAGGCAAAGCCAGATCTCTGAGAATTCAGGATTTCTGTCATTTATAGTTTAAGGATCAACCCTTGGTAACTCTTAGTTTAAGTTAAGATCAAAGTTAAGATCTTAGTTTTAAGGAATGGCTTGTGGAAAAAGCATTCTCAGAATGTTATTTGATTCCAGCCATGTTCCTAACAAATTATGAAATCTATGCACATTAAAAGCAGAAAATCTCAAGGCCCTCCTCTTCAGTCACCCTCTAACCACTACCCTCTCCCTGCCCTCCATCCCTCCTGATCCCAACCCCCTGCTTGATGACTAAACTCTTTGAATGATTGTACGGAAGTATATAGAGCGCCAGTTGCTGTTGTTTTTCCCAGACTTCTGGTAGTAAAATGAAATCTCGGACTTTTCCTTATTTATGTGCAGTGAATGCCTTTAATCCCTTGATAATCCGAGCAAATGCTGGGATTTAACGTCTTTTCCGTTGGATCTCAAGTGACACTGAGTGCGATACAAAACTATTTTTTCCAAACTAATGTTGAGAACCTGTTTATTATTGATGGCTGAACGGTAATCCTGCCCGCATTGCAACCCTGCCCCGTTCCTTTATGTGACTTTCAACAAAAGAATGGTTCAAGCAAGCAGCTGTCTCTGACTGAGCCCCTTGGGGATTAATATTGATCATGGTGCATGCACTGTGCAGCCTGAGTCGTAAGGGAGTTGGGGATTTCGTGTGTCAGTCTCCCGGGACACTCTCTGTCAACTGATGGGAAAGTCAGCGGATGGTTTAGGATCATGCTGTGGGGAGCATGAATCAAGATGACACTGTATTCAGCTTGTGTCTGCTGTCTCTCTTGCAGGTGCTAGGCTGGATCCGGAACGGTGAATCCATGCTCAATGCCAGCCTTGTTAATGCGAGTTCTCTGTCCGAGGCAGAGCAGCTCCAGCGAGAACATGAGCAGTTTCAGCTCGCAATAGAGGTAATTCCTGTCTTTACAGTCAGCCATGAATTATTATGCTTTTGTGCTGAGTACTTTTTGATGGAATCACTGGACTCCAGCGAAAACCGGAGACCACGCCAGATGTGTGTCTCTCTTGTGTTTCGGTGTCCATGGGCTTCATTGTGTTATTTTTAAAATGTATTGATACTGTAATTGTACAATGATTCACCTATAAGCGCTCTGAACATACCCTGCGTGAGGGGTAAATGCAAGTTGTTGTTGTTATATCAAATTGAAAATGCAATTGACTCGATTGAATGATCCAAAGATCTCTTGTTAAAACGTTCTAAATGGAAAAAAATAATGTGCCTTAACGTAAAGAAGGTGATGTGAATGAACTCCAGTTTAATGGTTTCATAGAGCAAAGGACTGTCATATTTAAACAATTTGCTAAAGCTGTGCTACATGTAAGCATAAGGCACTGACCCATATATCCAGTGTATCCGGGAGAAATAAAAAGACAAAAGATGTAGGTGTGTGTGTGTGGGGGGGTGTGTGTCGTGAAGACAGGATCAGGTTTCTCTAAGAAAAGGAGAAGGCAAACAAGTCGAAATGTCTTCAGGAGAAAATTGGTGGAAAATCGATAAGGAAAGTTCAAAAAGGAACCGGGAAAGTGGGTACTATATCTATCAGATGATCAAGGCATTTAAGGTCTCGATTTGATGAACATAGGCAAATATATAAAAAGTAATGCTTCACATGTGAAGTCTGTTAAAATGCAAGTTACTTACAAGCGATAGGATTGCACTATTTGTAGCAGTTTACAGATATTTTCTTGAACGCTGGCCATGGCAGCTAACAAACGCGTGTGTTTTTTTTTGCTCATGTGCAATGGGTCGATTGCTTGTGTTAGCAAAAACCACACTTGTTTAATAGCTTGATAAGTATTGAATGGGAGGTGGAGAGAGTAGAGGTGAAATAACATTTCTACGCTATTTAGTTAGTGCTGCCGTTGTGCCATACAACATATTAAAGAGAAGAGTTTGTAGATAAATGCCTTCTTAAACTCTAGTTGACTAGTCGTTGGCAGCATAACACTACATTGCTGATGGTTTAACTTTCTTGAGTTTTTAAAAACTTTTTGACCCTATTGAGATAAATTGTGTGCACAGCTCTTTCCCCCCACAATCTGTGCCAACATGTGCTGAACATTGGGCCATCTCTTAACTCCCACTTTTATTAAGTGTTTTAACAAAAACTGCAAGATGTCATTCCAGCTCAAGTATTGAATTCAAGGATCTTGTCGGCATCTAAATCACCAGGAAACAACTAAAAAATTGCTTGGCAAGCAATTACTGCTGTACGCAATTGGCTTCCTCATGTCGCCCACAAAATATACAATCAGTTGACTTTACAATATACCCCGTGAAGCACTTTGAGACTTCTCACTATATCAAATACAAGGATTATTATAATATATTATTATTATATAGGATCATAGGAATTAGGAGCAGGAGTAGGCCATTCAGCCCCTCGAGCCTGCCCTGCCATTCAGTAAGATCATGGCTGATCTTCTAACCTAACTCCATCTGCCCACTTTATCCCCATATCCCTTAATCCCTCTATCCTTTAGAATATAATCAAGAAATTCACCAACCTGAAGAGAATGTATATTGTAAAGTGGATGGATTGTGTATTTTGTTTCGCCCACAAAATACAAAATTCTGTGAAGCGCTTTGAGACGTCTCAATGATGTGATAAGGCTCTGTATCAAGCTACAAGTATTATTATTATCCTCCTATCAGTGTTATTGCCAACCACTGCCATTTACAGATCAGTATGTGGACTTTATGCAGGCTGCATTTGCTTGTAGTGAACAAAAAATACAGAAAAGAAGTGATCGCTATCTATCATCAGGCAGCAATGTGATATAAAAGGAAAGGTCTTTTATTTTATGAGGGATTTTGGAATTGGAATGATATTGCTTCACCATACTCAGGGCTGATGGTACCCCTGAGATCTAAAGTGACCATCGAGGGAACCCTCAGTATGATTTTATTCCCTCCACACTCTCTCCGTACAGATAGAAAATAACAATATTTCCCATCAAGTTACGTCTGGGTCATTTGTACTTGCCTTTCCACCTCCAGGTTTGTAGGTGGGAAAAGCTCTAACATAAATATGATTTTTTTGTCCTTTTATTATTGTCATTAGTATTGATATCATTTTGTTTTAGAATTAACATGTTCAACTCTCTTACCTCTCATTACTCACACCTAATCCCCTTTATCATCCTTCTGTCACTTCTCCTTTGCACACCTCTGTCCTCCCTATACACAGTCCCTCTTTCATGCCACTTCTTTACAGAAAACCCACCAGAGCGCCCTTCAGGTACAGCAGAAGGCTGAGACCATGCTGCAGGCTGGCCATTACGACTGTGATGCCATCAGGGAATGTGCCGAGAAAGTCGCTCTTCACTGGCAGCAGCTAATGCTGAAGATGGAGGACAGACTGAAGCTGGTCAACGCATCAGTGGCTTTCTATAAAACCTCCGAGCAGGTAGGAAGCTCGAGTCATGATGATTAGAGCGGTATTAAAACTGTAACCCCTTTTACAATGTCAGTTCTTATTTATTTTTGTCGAGTGTTACTTTGGGATAGCTGTTTCTCTAAGGTGTTCACAAACTTCTCACGGGCACTGGTAACTCGTACGCACAGGACGGATCTTTAAATGGAGTACTGTTGCGTAGTGGTTAGAGCACTCGCCTCGCAAGCGAGAGGACCTAGGTTCGATTCCCAGGCAGGGCGAAACATTAGGCAAGTTTCCTAACTCCATAGGCGTCTGTTTTACCTAGCAGTAAGAAACCCGATTGTTAGTCACTTTTCCGGGGGTAATAATCCCTTCAATAAAATAATAATAATTTAGTCACTCAATCCACGACTGTTTGTGGGACGCTGCTGTGCGCAATTGGCTGCCGCATTTCGCCCATAAAATATACAGTAGTTTCACTTTATAGTAAATTTTGTGAAGCGCTTTGAGAGGTCTCGAAGACGTTGCTCAATGAAGTTATCAAATCGAAGCACAATTCCCTGCTCTTGCCCAGTCCTGTTGTTTGTCAGTCACCGAAGCAGTGTGCCAGCCTCTGAGCTCTGTGCTACTTTCTTGTTGTTAGGTATGCAGCGTCCTCGAGAGTCTAGAACAGGAATACAGAAGGGATGAGGACTGGTGCGGAGGCCAAGATAAGTTGGGGCCAAATGCTGAAACTGACCACGTCACACCTCTCATAAGCAAACATCTGGAGCAAAAGGAAGCCTTTCTTAAGGTAGTTTTTCTTCCTGAGTGTATTTAAGGCTTGCGCATAACTGAGACTGCTGTAAAAATAACAAACACACACCAGTGAATTCTGCCTAAACAGTACAAAAGTACTGGAGTTCAATGGGGTAAACAGTGCGAGAAGTATTAAGCAATGATGAGGTTGTCTCTTTTAAAGGGGCAGCAATACCTCATCTTCCCAGAAAGGTTCAATTTAGGAACCCATCGCTCACACTTACCGGGTGCCTCATCTGCTTTAGTGGCAAATAGTTTTAAAAGTAGATAATTTGCTTAAGAATTTGTGTAAAAACGTGTGTGTTTTTTTCAAATTATATATACGTTTACAAGAAAAACTGACATTTTTATGTGGAAGACACTTGACTGATGTATCACTGTCACTTTAAGAAAAATTCTGCCAACACCTGACCTTCGTGGTGTTCTTTATGACTGACCAGATGTATAATTATTTCCATAGCACATTTTCAGACGGTCAGACTTGAACATGTTGTTCGTTTCTGCTACACTTGAAGGCGCAGGGCAAACTGTGCAAACAATTCAATTCAGTGTCTATTGCCCTTAAATGTTTCCGGTTGAAGAACTGTGAAATATGCGCTACTTGATTAATTAGTGCATTCGTTTCCATTCTGTTTTGCTCTGTTTCTTTTCACAAGTGCTAGCGGAGTGATTTCACCCGTTACGGGGTCCTGTAATCATGTGGACTCCAAACATACTGCTGATCTCGTCAGCGTAATCCTTTGGGACGATTCCAGCTAAGTTAAAATAAAGTGCTCCTTACCTCAAGAAAGCTAAAAGTCAGAATGATTTTATTCAAATGACGGGACTGCTTGAAACCCTTTTAGAGTAAACTATTGACATGGCTTCGACTTTAAAAAGGGAATCTGGTGGCTAAGCAGCCTGATTGCCCAGTTATCCAGTAATGACTCTGAAATTGTGGTTAAGAGTGGCACTTGAGTGGTGGGGTGGGGGGTGTCTGACGTGTGTATTTTGATCATCGTGTCGATAGACTCTGTCGTTTGGATGAAAACTCTTGTGATTTTTCTGGCTTGTTTCTCTCCGTGTGCAGAAACAAGAGGGGCTCCATTATAACATCACATGCATAACATACCCAATAATCTTATACATTCAGCACATGTGCAAAGACCTTGCCTTTCTGAGGGCCCACTGCCTCAATCACTTTTGAGGAGATTGGAATATGTGGCTCTCGTCTTGCTTTCTCCACACAATCTTTACCACGGTTTAAACAGCGACCAAAAACGATAAGTCTCAAAGTTTTTTCCACTCGTTGTATGGCATAGTCACGTCAAGTGCACAATGACATCCATATCCATAGGACATCATTGCTAGCTCCCCAAGTGTCAGTGCCGGTAGCTGAAGAGGTGCAGTGAATATCAGCTATTAACTTGTAGCATCAATAGCGCTTTGGTTCATCTGGACTTTTAATCTTCAATGGAGCTGTGCAAGTCCTTAATTGAATCTAAAAAACTGTAGTCTCTTTTTATACCATGGAAATGTATTAGTACAGAAGACACTTTGTGTGTTCAAGATTCCATCATGTTGTTCGTGAGTTTAATGCTCCAATAGCATTTGGATTTAATTAATTCCTTTTGACAATGGCGCTGCGTGGTGCAGTGGGGTTTAACTCTGGGACTTAAATGTACTGTAGACTATTGGAAGGAATGTCTCTGCTCTTGGTCAATAGTGGAGTCGTAAGCGAAGGGAGGGGTTCAAGCAGTCTCAACACAGTTGGGGCAATCTGTATTATAAAGCTGCTCCATTATGTAGACTAATTTGGCACCAATGCACTTTGGCAATCTCACCAAAGAGGCCACGAGTTGGCTGCTGAGGATAAATGGAAATATCATACTGGTTTCGGGGGTTGGGATTAATGCATTTAATTGACCAGTGTGTAGGGAGCTTAACTCTGCGACAAACTCTATACTACGCACTTGGTGACTCTGTGTTTGTTGCTGACACTTGTTTAATTTGGTACAAAAAGCAGGGTTTCTCTAATGCTGACATTCCTAACATTCTTCGCCTTTGAGCCAAAAATTCCACTCGCAATATCAAATACTAAACGTGCATTATTTCAGGTTTCATGCAACTACGATTTTAATCTTTTTTTTGGGAGTTCCGCTGATTGGTGCTTGTAGCAAGTTTCATTTCTGGTTCCGTGCTTCGAAATTTTAAACTCTTATTTGCTCGCGTCTGTTTTATCGATTGACAAGAATGAGCCGGTGCTGAAATTAAATAATCCAACGCATTTGAAAGACCGAGTGAGCAGATACAGTAGTGAGAGGGATGAGGGAGTGCTGAGGCTGGCTAAAGACGATAAGTTTGTTCCTAACAAATGCGTTATGGGCTGTTCTGCAGGCCTGCACTCTGGCACGCAGGAATGCCGAGGTCTTTCTCAAGTACATTCACAGAAACAATGTGAGTATGCCAGGTGTGGCTGCCCACACAAGAGGTCCCGAGCAGCAGGTAAAAGGTAAGTGTGCAGCTAGAAGCCGTGAATTGTTCATTTTATTGTTAATTTTCCTCCAACGTTATTTCGAAGTATTGGTGCAATGGTTCTTTGGCTCTGAATAGAATGGTTATCCCATTAGCCTGTCAGCAGGAACAAAGAATAATTATTATCATTTTGTACATCTTCTTCGACATCTGACAATAGTACCTTCTATTATTGCCTTAACTAGAACAGTTAAATTCTAACTGTTCTGTTGTGTTTCATCCCAACGGAACCGCAACACTTTTCTGCATTGAGATTTGTCAAACATTTTGGGTCTTGTTAATTTCGATTCAAGAATTCTCAGTTTGCTTTGGAGACTCATAAGAAGGTGACGGGTTTCCGCATGTGTCACACACTCGGCTGACCCCCCCCCACCCAAAAAAAAAAACAATTCACACTCACGTAATAGGGAACTTAGTTGTATTATTTGATGTTCCAATAGGAGTTTCTGCTTCATACACCTGCTACTGAGAGTATGGAAGGCTTTTTTATGCAGGAGTACATCAGTGCCTTGTAACAATTGCTTGTCTGGCTGCTGTCAGGCTATGAGAAAGTGACTGTGGTTTTGGTCTCGTTGCACAGCTATTCTCAGTGAGCTGCTCCAGAGAGAGAACAGAGTGCTTCACTTCTGGACGATGAAAAAGAGGCGGCTGGATCAGTGCCAGCAATACGTGGTGTTTGAGAGAAGTGCCAAACAGGTATGGCTTACCCCTCCCTCCCACCCGCCCTCCTTCCCTCCCTCCCTTCCCCCCCCACCCACCACCACTGCCTCCCTCCCTCTACCTTCCCTTCTGGTCAGAGCATAATTCACCTTTGCCCATAGCTTGTTGTCTGTTTGAAACTCTGCAGGAAAAGCTGTGTACATTTTGAGGTCTATGATAGCAGAGCGTACTTGCTCAAAACCACAGTTGGTTTTAAATTGCTGGCTTCTTTGATAATATCATCGATGCTTTAACATTTAGTTTATTTTCCTTCTTTCCGTAGCCTTCACCACAACTGTTTGAATGTGCTATGAGTTTATGGCAAGGAGAGGTCCTCTCTGAAGGAGATATAGAAAGCTGTGTGGAGTGCTTGAAGAGTTAACGCAGATTGGTGTGTGATTGATGTGTGCTGCATTCATGAATTTGCTGTGTGTGTGACTGCAGCTCTGTGTGACGCAATGAATGGTGGAGTAATGGAATGACCAAACCAATTTGACCCCAGAAGAGAGAACTTCAGGAGAACCCTGAGATTTGTTTCATTCCCTTTTCATTAAATAGGCATTAGATTGGATCCAGGAAATAGGCGAGTATTACCTTTCTACACATACATCTGCCGGGGAAACCACCGAAGAGACTGAGGATCTTTTGAAAGAATACAGTGAATTTAGGATTTCTGCCAAGGTAAGATGAAAAAAATTATTTCGCTCTAATAAACCGTTTCATTTTACACACGGCATGTAATGAATGTCGCCGTGTTTTAAACAGCCTGAAGTAAATTGTAACGATTTCTGTTGAGGGAATTCTTTTGGACACACGTGATGGTTCAAGTTTTCAAAATGGATTCAGTTCCATCAAATGAGATTATGAAATAATTGCCATGTGATCAACTGATCCTTAATGTGCTTTTCTACCACCCTTTCACCCTCTCCCCAAATACAATCCTCAGAATATTGAGGGCAAAGCTATAAATGGATCATGTACCATCCTGTGCTCTCTATGCCCTATAGCATAGATTTGTGTGTGTGTGTGCACTGGCCGTGAGCCAAATAGTGTTTCCCACCCCCCCCTAATCTCTTGGGAAAAGACTTAAAATGATAGTAATGAGAATGTATTTCTAAGTTGTTGAGTTTTTAATGTCCTCAATGTAGAAATCATTCAGTGGAACGGATTGATGGTGCAAATAGCTGCCAGTTTAGACTGAAGGAATTTGATGAAAGTGTTCAGGGAAACGCCTTGAACTTTTGACAGGAATATAGTGGCGTTGAGACAGTATATATCACAATACAGGTCATGTGTTTCAAAATACCAGCAGCAGATTGGAGTAGGTCTCAGATTGGCAGCAGATTCGTCAGATTAGAATTAGGCAGGATTCACGATTAAGAACCAGAAGACCGTTAGCTTGATCTGTATTGATTTAAGCATTTCCATTTGTGATCCAGCAAACCAAGGAGAAGGTGAAGCTCATCATTCAGCTGGCGGACAGTTTTGTGGAGAAGGGTCACGCACATGCCTGCGAGATCAAGAAATGGGTGTCAGCAGTGGATAAGCGCTATCGAGATTTCTCACTGAGGATGGGAAAATACAGATCCTTTTTGGAAAAAGGCCTTGGAATCACGTCGGAGGTAAGTGGTGCTGTTCGACAGTATTTGCTTGCTGGGGTGGCATGATTTCTGTCATGGACTTTTTACATGGCAGTTCTGTCTCACTGTAGAATTTCAAAATTAACTTGTGTTATAGAACTTCCCACGTCGTGACTTTAAGCTAATAGTTCAAGGTGAAACTCCAATGCGGTACTGGGCGAGTGCTGCATCATCAGAGGTGCCATCCTTTGGATGAGACATAAACCAAGGTCCTGTGTACCTGTTTAGCGAAGTGTTAAAAGGTCTCATACTACTAAATTTTTTATGGCAAGAAAGATCTCACGACACTAATTGGAAAAAGAAAAATATTTGTCCTGGTGTCCTGCCAGGATGTATTTCAGATGAATTGGTCATTCACAAGGTTAAATTAAATTTTACTTGAATTTACTGTTTTGGTTTGGAATGAGTGTTCAGACTGATGTGCACTTGATTCAGACCAACTGAACTTTGGCTGATCGGTTTCCAGTGTCCGTTTCCCCGCCCTGAATTCAGTGTGAGGTGAGTAGAGAGGCCCCTTTGTGCCCTTCCCTGACAGATGGGGAAAAGCACAGCATGGGAAGAATGACGGATGCTTGGGAATTATGTCCCAGTAAGAATCAACACCACTTGGAAAGGAGGAGGGAAGACAATTGGCAACAGCAAGAATAATCATTCATCTGAGCGTAACAAGGTGCAGACTCTCAGCCCAGTGCGAATAAAACTGATGTGCAAACACACATTTATGAGGGTTACCAATTGATTTGTAACCGGCACCTCCTGCCTCTGGATATTTCAGAGGCCAACTCGCCAGAACTCACTCATTTTGACTGTCTTGAAGCCGGATTGTCAGATCACAGCAAGCTGTTAGACCTAAGTACATGTAGGTCAGAATCCACATAACTGGGTAAATGCAGGAGTTTATGGTTACAAATCAATTAGACTATAAAACAGACAAAAATATTGATTTGTCTTGCCGTAGATTTACAGTCTATTTTCTTAAAGAAAGAAGCATTCAGATTTAATTCAAAACTAAATACTAAATGCCCTAATGTAATGTTTGATCCAATAATTAGTTTGCAAACCAAAGTTCATAGTGTGCTTTACATGCAAAACATCAAGAATGATTTACAAATGACCCAGTTTACTGGCTCTTACCCTCTGCATAGGATGTGATGCTTCTAAGTATGTTTATTTTGCAAACACGTTGACAACAAATCAGAAGGCATTTCTGAAAACCTCTTGCTTGAATCCACATTAATCCTTTGAGAAAACGTAATTGAATTCCTTCTCAATAAATGTAATCTCCTGGTGAGTGCAACAGGTCAAAGCTGGATACTTGCAATAGTCCTTATTGAAATCAGTTGTGCCCTGAATTCTGACAAATAATATGAAAAATGATACGGCTGAATCTCATTCACAACACATTGGTGCAATTCTTCCCTGTACTGTACCTCTTGAGGCATTGGAAGATTTACACACAATAATGTCCCACAAATAGCCATGGAGTGAGTGACCAATTTTATTTGGGGGATTTATCGGCCGGGACACAGGGAGAAATTCTCTTTTTGAACAGTCCCATAGGATTTTAGTGTCCACCTCTACAGGCAGACGAGGCCTCAATTTAACATCTCATTTGAAGGTTGGCACCTCCGACAATGCAACACATCCTCTGGCACTGCATTGGAGTATCAGCTTAGATTGTGAGTCCAGGTCCAGATGTGGGGCTTGAACTCACAACCTTCTGACTCAGAAGCGAGAGAACTACCGCTGGGCCAGGCTGGCTTGTTAACACTGGACACGTGATCTTTGTTACAGCGATTACTGATAGTTAAGGATCTGGATTTGTGCTTCTTTCCCAGGACAATAAAGACCTGGAGCTGGACATCATCCCTGCGAGTCTCACTGACCCAGAGGTCAAACTCCGAGATGCCAACCACGAAGCCAATGAAGAAAAAAGAAAATCTGCAAGAAAGAAAGAGTGAGGATTGAGTTGTCAGTAGAGATCAGTTCTAACACAGAAATTGGGGAGGGTAGGGGGTCCGTTAAATCCCACCCAGCACTGTTAACAGGGACGCACTCAGCAGTCAGCACTTTCAGATCTTGATGTCACTGATCACATTATTGGGGACATTTTGAATTTATTGGTAAGTAAGTGTCAGGGTCCAGAGCCCAAACATGCTCTAAGTAAACCCACACTATAATGAAACACACTATGACCGGGTTCTACTGAATGCAGAGAAAACTGCAGATTCCAGCTTTAATTGAAGTATATCCTTCACATGTTTTTTTTAACAAATAGAGTATATTGTAATATTTTCTCTGTCTATGAAGTTGCATTCTTTATCAAACCCTTTCATCTTGTTTGTTAACTAGCAGACTCTGACAATCTTTCATGTGAATGGTATCTCTGTCTTGAAGTACTATATGCATCAGCGACATAGGAATATTCAGACCTTCAGTAATTTAACTGTGATGTGATTTAGCATAACTAAATAGGTATTGGCAATAGTTATTCATTTTGAAAATATAGAAAACTAATCCAGACCCTGTGGGCTAAAAGGATTCAGGGAGTATGAGATTCAGTGGATATGGACACACGGATGCAATCTTGTCAGAATTGGATGGGTAGTTTTGATGGGTTGATGATGTACTTTTCTACTTGAAAATGTTACTGAAAGTGCAATGAGTTAACAAGCTTGTAAAAACTACATGTTGAACTCTCAGACTAAGCGTGAAACTGTGCTTCACTGACTTTACAAAGTAAACTGTCAGTGTGTCCGAGAAGCAGAAAGATTTATTAATGATAAGAAGCAGCCAACATCAACTAGAAAAATGGGCTTGTACTGTCATTGGTAGTCGAGAGCAGTGCTGCCATCAATGGTCAAGCTATTTTCTCGTTTTAATAAAAGAACAGAATTAGTGCTGAACTTTGCCCTATAGATGAGGAACGTCAATGTTGTCTAATTTGGAACATACCCGAATCGTATTCATTGTGCTATTTCGAAGAGATCAAAATGTCATTGATCCATTTTGATGAACGTTCAGGGAACTAAGTAATGACTGCCTTTCTGTGAGAAGTCAACCGGTCGACCTATTCTGAGAACATCATTGTACCAGGAATACTGTGTGACAGCCCCTTAGGAAATGTGTCTGACTGTGTCCTGTGTTCCAAAGAAACCTTACACAAGAAGCGTTTGTCACAAGCTTGCGATGTTTTTCAACGTCTGTCAATGTAACAGCGTAAACGGGATAGGAGTTCGAAGGCACTGATTAATCATCTTGTTTTCTTTCTAGATTCACAATGGCTGAAGTACTTCAGACCGAGAAGGCATACGTTAGAGATTTACATGAATGTCTGGAGGTGAGACATTTTAATCATTTCACTGAGAAAATCATTCTCCCCATTTCTTTTCCAGGTTCATTATGGCTGAGCTCCTCCAAACTGAAAAAGCTTATGTTAGAGATTTACATGAGTGTCTTGAGGTGTGTATTTTTTTACTTGCTCTTCTCCTACAGACTACATTTCTCTCTTCTCTACCCTTTGTCCTATGGCAGTCACTTCTGTTTGAGCCAAAATAAATCTTAGCTGCTAACTGGCACCTGCGAGTCCTCCGAGTTAGTTGTGTGCCGCTCAGTGTCCCTTTCCACTTATAAATTACGCTGTTTGAGAACATTCATAGAATCATTAATGTGCAAAGAAAACAACTGTAACACTATCCTTGAAGGGCCTAGCCACGGACTGCATATACATCTTGTAAAACAGTACAGATTTATTACTGCGGGACTGACTCAGAGAATATTTGGATCCAAGAAGGCAGGAGAATGTTGACATTGCAAATGGATCCTTCCACTACCCTCTACAGTTTCCCAGCAGAATCAGTCTGTGCCAAGAAAACAGCCCCCGACATGAAGAGGTGATCATGGTTGTGTTAGGACACAGAACTCGGAGAAAAATACACAAACCACACAAACAACGCCACCAGGATCTGACTCTATCCTCTATCTGACTATCTAGATTTCTAAATCTTTTCTCATCAAAAAAATAGGCATTGCATTTTTTAGGGCGAAACCTTAGGCTAGTTTCCTTACTCCACACACCTCTGTTTACCTAGCAGTAAGTAAGAGCCCGATTGTTAGTCAAATGGCGGGTTGCTTTCCGGGGTAATAATCCCTTCAAAAAATAAAACAAATGAATAATAATAATTCGAGCACTCAATCCACGAATGTTTGTGGGACGCTGCTGTGCGCAATTGGCTGCCGCGTTTCGCCCACAAAATACACAGTCAATTCACTTAACAGTATATTCTGAGAAGCGCTTTGAGACGTCTTAACGATATGATAAGGCGCTATGTCAAATGCAAGGATTATTAATTATTATTATAAGATGTTCCTAGCCTGTATGTGTCTGCTCTGACCAGTGAAAGAGTAAAGTGTCTGGGAGAAGTACATTTCTCTAGTTCAATTAGTTTATCAATTAACATGGCAGTGATCACTGAAGCAAAGAGCAGACCTCACCAGAAAATGTAGTGTGCTCAGAAACTGGAAGGTACAGTACGTGCCATTTCCAGTATAATCCTCACCCATTCATTTTGTCATTATTTCTTATGTTCCAGACTTACCTTTGGGAGATGACCAGTGGAGTGGAGGAGATCCCGGCCGGTATTGTCAACAAGGAGCACATCATCTTTGGAAATATTCAGGAAATTTACGAGTTTCACAACAAGTAGGTTTTGAATGATTGTACAACGAGAGTGTGAAAGACAACCGACATGAAGATAGACACACAAACTCACTTGTCATTTTTTTACATTACCATTTCCCAGTATCAACTATTTATCACACTCTCTCGTATTTTAATTTGCTTCTGTTAATGGCTGCATTTTAATAAGAGTTAATTTCAATGAACCACACACAAACCCAGTATATCAGCATGTAGGAGTGCAGAAAATGGTATTAACTTGTAATGTGTCTACCTTTCAGCATCTTCCTTAAAGAATTGGAGAAATATGAACAGTTACCTGAAGATGTAGGCCATTGCTTCGTCACTTGGGTGAGTAAAATATTCTTCTGTTTGGTTTTAAGATTCTGGACGGACAGTGAACCTTGCATTCCTACTGCTGTGTACGAATTCAACCATCATCCTGCTTGCTGTTCCACTGGTGTTTACAGTCCATAATCCACAGGTCTAGGACTGTGTTGAAAGCCAGTTCACTTGATCTGCTTTACTTATTTCCACGACTATTTTAAGACATTCTTGCTGAGGTCAACATCATTTTTGGCTTCAACATTTGTTTTGAAAGCACCAAATTCACCACGGTCTCTCTAGGTGCCTACTTGTTTTATCAAATGTTTCCTGCTTGCTGATAGTGTTCATTCTAAACTTCATTCCAGGGTGTTTGTGTGTGGCTTCCAACCACCGCTGTGTTATTTTCCCGGCATACTTTGCCAATCTTTTTTGGCTTTTACTGTCAAGATGTGTCAGATTTGATGTGGCTTATCAAAGCAATTCAAACATTTCTGGTTTTGTGGCCAAGTATATTGAAAAGAATACTTTCAGAAAATAACTTCAGAGGTAAACTTTTGTCGGGCTTGTTAATGTTGAAGTCTGGAAGGGACGATTTCTGCAGTGGGAGAAATCTGTCCACAGTTGTCTGATTTTTTTTTCCTGGTTTAGTCATTCCTTCATTGTTACTCTCTGGGTCAAAACATTGATGAAAACCTGATAGCAAAGCTCCCTGATGGACTAGTGGATAAAGTCACGAAGCTACAGTGACCAGAGTTTACTACTTCAAGCACCCAACAGTTAGGAGTGCTATAATTGGCCTCTGTAGCCCTGGAGAGGAAACGTTAGCCTTGATTCGTGTTCCTGCTTGCCAATGCTCACTTTCTGGGTCCACTAGTGAAGAAGGGACTGTTTGGGTGAGGTGGTGGAAGCCTTTTCACACCCACAGAACTGTAGCCCAGGAAGAGTGAGAGAAGAGGAGAGGAGGAAAATGAGAGCACAACAAACTTGCCGGACAGCCAGCTGGAAGCTCTTTGATACGTAGAACATTAGCCCTTCAAATAACATCATTGAGATGCAGCAAAGACAAATGCTTGAATAAGGATATTAGCAAAATTTCTGAAATGGGTCATAAATATTTCTTGTGAGTTAGTTTCTAATAGGTTTGCATTCGCAGTCTCCACCATCCGAGTGCCGCTTAATTACTTGACTTGACAATTATTAATGAAGTTCTGTGCTGAATAATTCCTTTTAATCAATGTGACTGTATAATAATCACTGCATTTCATGAAATTAAAATGAGAGAAAAGGTTAGTTGGGTGTATTTATGTGAACAAATCACGAGTAGTTTGGACGTGTTCTATCAAACGTAAAATCAGCGATGTAATCCAAATGGGATGATGATTCTATGTCATGTACTATTAGTGAAGGTGCCGATTGGATCATTAATTACTCTGAATTGAGATTAACTCCTGATGCGTGAAACATGAGCAGTGCCGTGAGAGTGTGCAGGCTGACTAGCGATCACATCATTAGGGTAGTTTCCAGCTCATCATAGTCTCCTCAGGAGACCTGCCTCGCTGCATGTTCAGGAGAAGTTGGGCTTTGGATAGTTGGCTGGTTGGACATATTTTGGAGGACAACTGTCCAAAATCCTGCTTTTTGTGTTGTTGATGACGTTTCCGGGATCTGATTTGTTTTTCGCTTGTTTTTTGCACAGGCAGATAAATTCCAAATGTACGTCACATACTGCAAAAACAAGCCTGACTCCAGCCAGCTCATCTTAGAGCACGCAGGAAGTTTTTTCGATGTAAGTAAATATGTTTCTTTTTCTCTCTATCTGACACTCGATTTGGGTTTATGTGTGCACGTGTTGTAAAGTATCTAGGTTTGGGGGTAATACGTGCTGAAGTTCGAATCAAACAAAGACTGAGGTGGATAGATTTTTGTTAGGTCAGGGTTTCAAGGGATATGGGACAAAGGCAAGTAATTGGAGTTAAGGTACAGATCAGCCATGATCTGATAAAATGGCAGAATAGGCCAAAGAGGCTGAATGGCCTACCCTGTTCCTACGTTCATATGAATGTGAGCAAAGACTTGTTACTTACCATCACGCAACCTCCCACCCCCGACTGTGGAAAGTATACTGCAGGATCTGGCTCGGTTTATTGAATTCTTTACAGCTGATGTTTCAAATAGCGGGAAGTGGGCGGTGGGATTTGCTGTTTGATAAATGGCCAGCATTTAATATGTGGATTTTTTTATTTAATATCAAAGTATTATGGAACTTGCTGAATGCAGCCTTTGTGTAAGCTAAGAGCATTTATTTTTTTATAAACGCCGAACATAAGGTTTGTGAAAGGAGCTTAGGTTTGAATTTTTTTTATATCAGTTAGTAAGTTATTTTGTGCTTCCTTTGTGTGTAGGAGATTCAACAAAGACACGGTTTGGCCAATTCAATCTCTTCTTATCTGATTAAACCAGTTCAGAGAATCACAAAGTACCAGCTCTTACTGAAGGTAGGAAGCAATTGTGAATCTAATCAAATTAAACAAAGTTTGATTGGATTGGAAAAGTGTAACTTGGACTTGAGCCTCTCTGCCCCCACCCTTTGGAACTCCATCCCATCATCCATTTGTCTCGCTCCCTCCCTCGCCTCCTTCAAGGCCGGCCTCAAGTCCCTCCTCTTCGACCGCGCCTTCAGTCACCCTCCTACCCCTATCCTTCCTGCCCTCCACCCCTCATGATCCCAAACCCCAGCTCAGATCCAAATCCCTGACTGTCCAGCACTTTGGGACGTCCTCCCGATGCAAAAAGCGCTCTATAAATGTAATTTTGTTGTTGTTGTATTTTTCACGGTGAGGCTGTACAACATGTAAGACATCTCGGGAGGTTAGTTCATAATCAAATTGTTTGCGGTGTTGTGTTTATAATGACGTACATAATTCGCAAAGAGTTCTAGAGCAGTTAGGAAATGATGGCAGACAAACCATCGAATGCGGGTTGATGTGTAATATTTTTATGACTTTAGTTTTAATGATTGTGTCAATAGGAACTCTTGACGTGCTGTGAGGAAGGTAAAGGAGAATTAAAAGATGGTCTCGAAGTGATGCTCAATGTGCCTAAGAAAGCCAATGATGCCATGCATGTCAGTATGCTGGAAGGTGAGCCTACACAATTTAAAGGCCTTTCTGCTTATTCGGTTTCAAGCGATGTGCTTCAGCTGGTTACGTTCCAATAGTTATCCCAACACACACTCTGGGGTCCCCAAGCCTCGTCTCTTGCCAACCTGCACCTCATATTTTCCGGAATTAGGTAAGCAGGATGCGTCCCTCCAGGGAGAGGGAGAGCACATTCCATTCCAACGATCTCCCTCCAGGTGTAGATGGGAAACACGGATTTCTCAGTTTGGTTTTGGATACCGTTAAGCATGGGGATGGGTTTCTGCGGGTGTCAGGCACCCGGCTGACCAAAAAAAAATGCAAAAAGTGTCTGTATTGTTTGAAACTCTCGATGTTATCTAAGAATCAAGTGACAATCTGATCCCCTCTCCCTGACTGTTATAGCAGAATGGTTTATTTGACAAAAATTCTAGTTCTGTCCAGTTTATACTTTGACATGAGGTTCACTAATACTTTATACGTATGACATTGTCATGAATCTGTTTAAATGCTCACAGGGTTTGATGAAAATTACGATGTTCAAGGTGAGCTGATTCTTCAGGACTCCTTCCAAGTATGGGACCCGAAATCCCTTATTCGAAAAGGACGTGAAAGGCATTTGTTTCTCTTTGAATTGTCCTTGGTTTTTAGCAAGGAGATCAAGGATTCCTCAGGACGCAGCAAATATGTTTACAAGCACAAGTTACTGGTGAGTTCATTGCTTTTCGTTTTATGTGGTTTGAATTGGATGGTTAGCAGGTTGTTGAAGGAAAACAGAAACGATTAAATAATGATAACAATCCTTGCATTTGATATAATACTTTATCATGTTGTTGAGATGCCTGAAAAAGGTTCAAGTAGCCCTAAAAAGACTGGAAACTCAGCTTGTGTGCTCCAAGCTAAAGCATGAGTTGTGATTTTCCATTATATAAGCAGAATGAGTAGTTCCTTAGGTTCAATAAACACTGCATTTTAGGCTCTACAATGAAAAAACATTATGCCTGAATAAATGCATGTGACCAGGTATTGGTGGTCGAGACTAACTTATTAATTATTAATTAACTAACAGATTAACAATGTCATTTTTATTCACTTATTATAGATCTTTTCAATTTTCAGACATCAGAATTAGGGGTAACAGAGCACGTGGAAGGTGACCCCTGTAAATTTGCCTTGTGGGTGGGGAGAACTCCATCCTCTGACAACAAGACCGTCTTGAAGGTAGTGTTGACTTGTCGCTTGGAATACATCTATCCTCTGTGTGGTAGGATCACAGATCTGCATTTTTCCAGAATGCGTATCATGTAGGCAAGGATTCTCTGCTATTCTCTCTCTTTCACCATAGCTTCCCATTTCCCATTCACTGCTTTCCCTCGAAACGCCAACTATTCTCAGCCACTGTTCCTACAAAGTAAGCAAAACTGTTTTGCTGCTGTGCAGTGTTCCACTCTCCCTCTTTCGGCCACAGAAACATGGTTTCTAGTGCACAAGGAGGGAGGGAGATAGGGAGGGAGGGAGATAGGGAGGGAGGGAGATAGGGAGGGAGGGAGGTGGGCCATTTACTTTTCCGCGGAGATGCTCTGGGGGTGGCATGCAGCGGTAACCATGGTTAATTTAAAAAAAATTGTTAAAAAATAGCGTGTCCAATTATTTTTCTAATGTTCTCTCCACTTACGTGCGTATGTTGCTGTTTCTGGTCTGGCCTCTTGTGACTTCCTCTGTCACTCACTGCCAAGGTTATCATAATGGGCACTTGGATCCACAAGCACTGGTTGCCTTCTGATATCTCATTACCTGAGCTTTGGAGGTGAGGGTCGACAGGCCAGTGTGACTGTAGATGGTATCACAGTCTAGCCCGCCTTCTCCCCTCTCCTGGCTTCCCTTCCCACAAACACCAGACCAGCAAACTCAGCATGAATCCTGATGGGAACCAATGAGTTCCTGGTCCTTAAACTACAGCTCAATCCACAACACCGTTGGTACTGCCCTAGATCACGGTGATCAAATCTGAAGACAACAGCATCACCACTTACACACACTTGTTCCCTGCCTTTTCAACTGTGTGTGCAGACGTGTGTGTGGTGTGTGTGTGAAGTCAAAAAGAATGGATCGCAATAATCCACAAAAGATAAACGGCTTTGCAGGCGAAGAAGCCAAGTGGACTGTTTTTGTTTCTTCTGAAAGCTTAATCTGATCAGAGCATCTGGCAACGAGATTGGCAGTTGCTCAAAGCATTTGCATCATTTCAACATGTCAGATTGTAGCCTTAACTCGAATGTAAAAGGAACCCTCGTCCTGCAAACAGTTAGACAAAAAGCTTAACTTTTTTGGAATGCATTTGTCAAACCTTCTCCTCGATGATGTTATCGCATGGCACATATTTGTAACTGCCCTGACAAATGACTCTCAGGTCGTCTGGATTGAAGTGATGTCCGATAGTGAAACAAAGAGAAACTGCAAGTTGAAAATCCGTAGCCAGTCCTTAACTGGGTCAAACAGATGGATTTGACAATCTACCTCTGCAATTCAGCTTGTGTTCTCTAAATGCTCTCTGCTGCAAGTGTTTTGGACTTATTGATATTGCAGCTGTGGTGATAAAAAAATATCTTATGGGATCACATAATGTTTGTTTTCCAGGCCTCCAACATTGAAACCAAGCAGGATTGGATTAAGAATATCCGTGAGGTCATTCAGGAGAGAACTGTTCACCTGAAAGGAGCATTGAAAGAGCCTATTCAGCTGCCAAAGACCCCAGCAAGGCAAAGGAATAACGTGAAAAGGTTTCAATGCTTCTTGTGTGCAGTTGTTCCCCATAGCATTTCAGACCTCGTCAAATGTGTAATAATTCAGTTTCGCATGTAACAGCATCCTCCTTTGATTTTCCTGTGTTGGACATGAACCAGCAGCACCGTCAGACATCCTCTGTGTGAGCTGCCAAGCCTCCCTACATTTCACCTTCAGCTGCACAGCTCAAGTCACAGGCTTACTTACCAAAGGGCAGAAATACGTCACTAAAACTGTCCCACTTGCTTTCACATGATTAGGCACTGTTTGAACATTGCAAGGAAGAACCATTTCACTTTGTGGTGAGTTATATAAAAACAAAAAGAACAACTTACATCGTGACCCGATTAACGTACAAGCCAAGGGCCACAGGGAGCCTCACCCCCTTCTCCAGAAACACACTCACTCGCTTCCACAAATAAATTCTTTTGTCACTCCATAGAGGGTGACTTTACGTGATTGGAAAACTATATATGAAAGCCAGTACTTAAGTCAAAGGTTGAGAAAGCCAGGCAGCCCTGATTCACTGGTGTCCCTATTCCTTTATAAAGCACCTGGTTCTCGTATACATTTTCATATGATTTTTTTTACCAGTGAATTTGCTTGTTTTAAAACAGACGACATAATGACATTGTGGTGCAGCCACTGACCCATTATTCCATAAGTTGCTGTGATGGAGTTTAGACTGATGTTCTCAGCTGGCTGCCGAGCACGTTACTGAGTGATAATAATACCAACAGGCAAAAGTTTTCATTATTTTTTATTATTCTCTTTTAAGAACATAAGAAATGCTAGACGAAAAAAGACCAAGGTCCATCTAATCCGCCTTCCTGGTGGTCTCATGCACATATGTCCCGAACTCCCTATGTACCGTATCCCACAATGTTATTTCCAGAAAGAAAGAAAACTATCTAATCTATGTTTGAAAGAATCAAGACTTCCTGCTTCAACCGTCTCCCTGGGGAGCCTGTTCCACAGGTTCACTATTCACTCACTGAAATAGTGGTTGTGTAGATTTGTTCTACATTTTACCCCCTCAATTATCGAGGTGTGTGAGTGTGTATCTATATGGATCGCCAGTGTCTCAGTGACCAAGCTGTGAGGCAGTGCTATTTCAGAAGATGCTACAATGGGGATTCACCTGCATATGCATACACAGAGAGATATATATTTAATTATTTTTTCTGGCTCCTGGTTCTAGGCAGATATGTTTTGTATTTACTTCTCAACTATTTCTTCTCTATTTCTTGGATTTTGCTTTCTTCCCCTCTTGCTGAAGCAGTGCCCCTTAATCATATTTTGAGTTTTCTACAAATACCCTCATTGTCAGGTGTAACCAAACTGCATTCCCAACGATACTTAAATGACCTTTGTTGGTTTGTTCCAATTTGTACCTCTTGGGTTGTGGAAAGGCCCCAGTCACTCAGTACTTTTCTTCTGTTTCTTTGATCCTCAGGGATATGGGAGACGATGGAGACAGTCAGGGAGATGGCAGCAGTCAGCCAGACACCATCTCCATCGCCTCAAGAACTTCACAGAACACCATGGACAGCGATAAAGTAAGTGTCAGTTTATGGGGTACCCATTATTCGACCACATTTAATCTATGCTTTAACGGGTATGCAAAGAATTGGTCTGACCTTTTTAGATCATGTGAAGATAAGCACATTGTAATCACTGTGAGTACAGCCCAATTTCCAATTGTTTCTACTGAATGATTCCTTCCCCCTAACACCCAGTGGATTTAGTTAAGAAATGGTTTAATACTCTAATTGGAAGTTGGTATGGTTGGTTATATTCTGGAAGGATGCGATCAAAAGTATCAAAGGGCCTTTCAGCCAAACTTTTTGTGCTGTTATGACCTATCGCACTGGATTTAATCATCAATATCAAGCAAAAAATTTGGATCTCAAACTGAAAGCTAGAATTCACTTGTGCTGCTGTCAGATAAATGTAATGAGTTTATGTAATGTCATTTTAGTGACCTCAACAAGCATTCATATTTTCAATGACCTTCTTGCTGCTACCTTGACCTAAATATTGATTGCTCTATGAGGATTTTTTTTCAGTGTTAAATGCTTATTCCTTTTAAAAAAGGACTCCAATTTCAATCCAATTGAAAGTTTTCGTCAAATAGAACTTGGTGGTCGGGGCATCATTTTGTTCATATGTAACACTAACGTGGGTTGATACACATTCAGTCAACGGGATGCTGACTCATTAACTGTTCGTCATTTTAGTAGTGTAGAAACAGTTTGCGTAGACTTTGTAAATATGAATTTGTTTAATAATAATAATAATTAATTTATTACTTTATTACAATGTACGGCACCTTGCCGTTAAGGGTGTCTAAAGCATTTTCCAAAATGACTAACCTTCCACAAAGAGCACTTACTTTGTTTCTTTGTGTGTTTTCCTGTTGAGCCAGACCTTGCTAAGTTGCAGGTGATGAAGTGCAAAGTGATCAAGAGTGAAAGAAACACTCACTTAGAATTGATCACCTGGCATCGACCCAGTCTGCAAAGTTAACTAAAACCTGTGAATGTTACCAGCTGCAGATCAGGTTATGTATTGCATTGCACAAGGAGGTCCCTTTTGTATAATCTTTACACTTCACACGGGGAGAGAAAGACATTTGGCAAAATCGAGTGCACCAAGCTGTCAGAGAAGCTGACGTGCAAACTGATCTACTCGCTCTAAACCATTTTCCCCCGTCGTCTTTGTTTGCAGTACGTCTTCAAATCCAAGCGCTTTATTTTATTCTTGGAGCTCTGCTGGAGGTTTCATGAATAAAGTCGATTAGTTAAGTGATGACGAGTAAGAGCACATGAGGCATGCTGAGCAATAGTTACAGGAGTGGTGATTGAGGCAGGATAACAAAACTAATGATACATATGAGTGTCAGGGCATGAAAGTAATGAGCAGAAACCTCCTCCCTTCCACAACCTTATTAGTAACTGATGAAAAGGTTTATTTAGTAATATGATTGATGTGTATTTTTTTTGAATCATACGTTGACCTATTTCTGTCCTGGCCTGACTGCACACCACACTTCGATATCCATGTCTCTCACATGGCCTTTTGCTTTACGTTTCTTCCTTTCTTCGACCTGGTGTGTGTGTCGTGGTCATATATAAATTTAAAAGAAAACTAAACTAAAGCGCACAGCTACATCTTAAACTTTAAGGATAGGAGGCAGTGTGGGAATGCTGGTCAGTGTGAGTTCTGTTGTCTTCCCTGAACTGTTCATTTAATGAGGTTAAGTATATAATATTATTTCAAGAAAAGATTTACAGAATTCTGACTCAGAAGGTTTGAGTTCAAGCCCGACATTGGGGCCTTTGTGCTCGGAGACGAGGCTGACATTCCATTGAAGTGTTGAAGAAGTGACTCATGTGTCGTTCTTCGGATGAGACGTCAAATCGATGTCCCGTCTGCCTGTTCAGGTAGATGTTAATTATTGTAGAATTCTTCATAGGAATACTCCAGTGAAGCGACTGCTTGACTGAGCCAGTTGCGGCAATCCAGTCAACTTCAGTGTCCTTGGGCTGGGGGAGAGTGAAGAAAATCAGTCCAGCTTTCACAAACTTAATTTTTATCTCGTGACTGAAAAGTGTGTGTGTGGTGTGCGTGTGTCAAAGCTGCAAAAACACATATGCCCTCCAAGCCCCAGATATCCTTGTCGCGTGTTTGCACTGACCCTTTCTCTGTGTACAGGCATGGCAAATGGGACATTAGTTCTGCTTCTCCAGTTAATAACAATAGTGCGTGGAGAGAGCGTGTTGTGGAGTTATTACGTAAGCTGAGACTGCAGCAGTACAATATAGGGTGTTGTGACAGAAGGTAAACAGCACAGAGCAATTGTAGGAGGCTCCATACCAACTGGAATCTGATAGGAACAGGTGGAACTCGGGAACAGCAGGAGTCTATTAGTCACATACTTTTGGCATTGCCTCTGTCGAGACACAGTGTGCAGCCACAACCTCGGTTTAAGTCCCAACAGCGAAACCTCTTACGTTTAAAATCCTTCCAGTGAGTTGAAAAAAGGTGATTATCATGATTGTTCCAATATACATTGAAAGCTTAATCAATAGTTACAATTGAAACTTAATTTGTGTCAAGTATCGGTTGTCTAAATATTCCAGGCACTACGTCCCGAAACTAAAGCTAAATAAATTAAAGTTGTTGTTGGTTCGATCGAGAAACCAGCTTATTGGGAATGCCGATGTAAATCCAAGCCTTACCAGCGTGTGGCATAATGTGTTAGTAATAATAATAATAATCCTTGCATTTGATATTGCGCCTTATCACGTCTTCGAGACGTCTCAAAGAGTGAATTGACTATATATTTTGTGGGCAAAACGTGGCAGCCAATTGCGTGCAGCAGTGTCCCACAAACAGTCTTGGATTAAAATGACGAATTTATTATTTTTTTTTGGAAAGAATTATTACCCCTACTTGCTGCTAAGTAAACAGAGACGTGAGCAGGGTTCTCTTTTCATATTCTGTGATTTTTTTGCACTAAAAAGGATTTATTTCAGCTTTATGTCACCTTGTTTGTAGTAGCAGACTGGCCCCTTTCAATCATCAAGTGGACACTGACTGCCAATTCTGTTCCTGTAATAAATTGTAGGGCTAAAGAAAGGTAATGGTGTGGGTTCTATCATTCGGACTCCAAAAGGAACACGTCCATGTTTAAACAACAACAAAAACAACAAATTACATTTGTGCAGCGCCTTCCACGTAGGGAGGCGCGGTTGAAGAAGAAGGGGGGGTGGCCGAAAACGCAATCAAAGAGGAAAGTCTTGAAACGAGCCTTGAAGGAGGCAAAGGAGGGGGTGGGTGAGTTGGAGGGATTCCGGGATGGAGTTCCAGAGAGTGGGGACAGAAAAGCTGAAGGCCCGACTGCCAATGTTGGGGTTGGCAAGGCGGGGGACATGAAACAGACCAGTGCCCGTCGAGCGAAGGGAGCAGAAAGGTTGGTATGTTATTCATTTTTAGCGCTCCGAGACGCCGACTGGCGTGAAGGGCGCTATTTAAATGCATGTTACTGTTGTACTAGGTCACATAGGTAGGGAGGAGCAAGAACAAAAACACTTAGCGGGAAATTGCTGTCGAAATTCCAGCAATTCACCACTAAACGTGCAAGGACACTGTATAAACACAGCTCATGTGTGTCTAGGAATTGACAGAAGAAAGCTTATGGGATCATTGAAATCATTCGTTCAAATATTTGAATCAATCCTTCAAATATTTAAAATCGTCTTATTTCAGAATCTCTCGGAGGCAAATGAATTACAATTACAAGCACGGGTTATTAATAACCCACATCACATTTTCTGACTCCTTCATCCTTCAATGAAAAGATTTGCTTTGTTTGCTAAATGTTTTGAATCGTCATGCCACTTTAAGCTGGGAGAGTTAAATCCCTGCTGCCTTTCTCTCTGAAGCATCTCAAAACTAGTGTCATTGTGTAACTTCACATGAATTAAAGCAGATGTTCCGTTTTTATTTTCGAACACGAGGCTTTGTTTAGCAGAGAGGGAAGCTGTGAAGTTTTCGGAGGTTTGGCTTGATTGGTACTGCTGATCCAATGATTGGCGGTGTTAGATCTGCTCCGTGTCTCAGGAGGGGCTCCACATCGTAGCCGTTCTTGGCTTAAACACAGCCTCATATGCAACGACAGATCTGCTGGAGCTCAGCACACAGCACATCGCACAACGGTATCAAATAGAGTGCTGGCAACAGTTGTAAAAGCATGAAGGACTTTCAGCTGAGTCCTGGGGTTACTATCCGAACTCTGGGGGCAATGGCAAATATTCTTAGCTCGTTAGCTTTTCCTCATCAAGGACAGGTAAGGCATTGTTTTTGTATTAAAAAAAATAAGACAATTGATCTTTTTCCTCTTGCTCTATTGCATCAGTTGATGGCCGGACCCTTTAATGTTACACTAGCAGTGCATAATTAAACAGAATAATGTTATCTTTCCATTGGGACGGCTGTTTCCCAATTCCCCGCACATCCACTTTAGGCTCTGAGCTATTCTCATTAATTGTCACACGATTCACTTGATGAAGTTAGTAAGTGTATCGTGGAGCCTTGTGGATGTTTTGCTGCAAAGCATTTTGCCAAGAAATTTGTTTACTATAAATTCCCTCATTTAAGCCATGTGCACATGTACAGTGTCCTGCAGAAGTGCAGTCTTCAGCCAATAGCCTTGAAATTGGCTTTAAAGTCATAAGGATGGAATCCTGATGCGTACTGTAATGCTCTGGCAATTCCTTTGCGGACAGCTGGAAATGTTTATGTCAGAGAAAAACAATTCTTTTGTTTTTCCTCCTCCACATGGAAAAGACTTGTGGATTTCTGAAATGTTAGCCTACATTTACCTTCACTCTTCAAATGAAATCGAACTACTAGGTGCATAGAAGTCTATATAATTACTTTGCTTTGTGTTACTAGCTCCTCGTAATAGTAGAGCATTGTCTAAGTCATAACGTTGAGATTTTTCTTCTTTGATTGTGGCTAAATATATCAAAGTGTGAGATGATGCTGAGTG